GCGGAGCGCAGCATCCCCCTGTATCCGTGGACCCGTCGTACCACAGGGTCCATAGTAACCGCCCTACAATCCGGTCCAGTTTGTAAGTTCTGCATTAACGAAATACAATAACGTCCCAGAGGATTTGGTACCCAACCATCGTGCCACGTGGTTCGTTATGCTTGAGATTTAGCCAGAGGGATGCTGTGAGGATAAAATGGTCCAGCGATACACTAATATCGTATCGCGGACACAGTTCCTCATAGTGTCAGGGCCGAGCGACGTCTCGCCGGTGAATTTATTGGATCGGATATTGGTCGAGGGAAAGTTTGTAAAATCGTCCCAGAGTCCGTTTTTCTTGGCCATCAGGTATGTAGAATCCACTTTCGAGGGTGGATTTTTATATATCGGATACGACGGGGGAGGCTGGGATAGAAGATGACAAAATCGATCGAAGATACGAAGCATCTCCGAAGGCCCGGATCGAGGCTTGAAACTCCTCACGGAAATTTTCCTTCGCAGTGGTAAACTAATTTGTCCCGTGGGAGTTATTCAGAAGAATTCCCGTTACCGATCCGGTACCTACGGACTTTCGGTGACCCGAGATCATTTTGCCCGATCGAAAATTCACATGTATACGTATACTCCCGAAAAAAGAGAAACTTTAAGGATCTTCGAAAACGCATATATAGTCTCAGGCGCGAAAGATACCTTTCAACCCCTTATATACGTCACTTCGACTTACACTCTTAAATTAGATTCCACGTGCAGGTTTCGTAAACGGGTCGACTGCTTAAAATGGGAAGCGGATACGCGGTAAGAAAATCCCGATGCCACTGCCATCCTGCTGCACGGTAGCCCAGAAAACACGACGCCTTCGGCCGTCGAATCGACGACCGCTTCCCGTAAACCCTGAGACGTCCAACCCTCCTTTTCGCCGGTCAATAACTGGACACTGGACATCCCCCCTGCCTATACCTCTGACCTCCCAACCTCCTGACACTCCCCCCCTCACAAGGACACCTCCCCGTCCACCAAGACCGCGTGTTCGTATGTGGCCCCTGCACCTACCAGATATACGTTGGCATACGTACGTATAGACGAGACTGTAGAAGTGACTACATGCAAATATTGAATTCCGGTCTCAGAGAAATATTCCCGGCCTAGAGTACAAACCCTGCAGAAAACCCCCGAGTCAAAAATATCCCGATTAATTGTCGTGGCAGTGTAGTTTGAAAAGAGGGGGGGGGGGGAATTATTTCAAATTTTGAAAAAAAAATTTATTGCCAACCTCAAAAAAAATTTTTGCCTGCCAGCCTTCGGGACCTGGCACCGTGCAGGGAAAAGGGGCTTCCAGCATATATACCACTGAATCACAATGATCGCAACAGACGGCTGGTTCTCGTCGTGCTTCTAAGATCAGATAAATGGCTGCTATGCTAGCCCGTTCCAGTTCTATACTCTGGGTATGCACGTAAACGTTAGGTGTACCAACCTACTCTGCCTACTCAACCGACCGACCTACCAAAGCGAGGAGTAAGCCTCGAGTTTGCCAGACTCCGTGATATATCCCCGTCCCTGAGGCAGTCCGCACGTTAGTATCTCAATAGAGAGCTACCTGCAGTTTGCCAGAACGGAATTTCCTGTATCCTGGGATACACCAGACCGCACGAACCTTGCACGGCTGTCTTATGGAGTTATGTATACATATGTGTATAGAGGCCTAATCCGATGTTATAAGCCATAAGGAGTCCAATTTCCAACTAGAAACTGGCTAATGTATTTCGTTAGATGGGAGTAGCGAGTATCGGGTGGCATTTTGGATTTGAAATTTTAATGCAAATGGAGGAAAATGTTAACGGTATACAGGTGGTATACAGATGGTTTGTTCGGACCTTTCGAATATGCTGCCACTGCTACAGGGAATCGAAGAAGCTAACTTGAGTTTTGGTCTTTGTGTATATACCGGGTGGTACTGGTGGATAAAAATTTTCTTGGTTTGCAGGATATCCAATAGTCCGTAACCCCCTGTAATATCCGAGGGCGTCTCGGGGCGTCTGCAATGGCCGCGACCGACGCAATTTGCGCACTGCATTAAAGCGAATATCCGGTGTTGGGAGGTTTAAGGAATAGCTGCTGGGTTATCTATAGGGTGGGTCTTTGATAGGGTGGAGAGTTTGTAATTTGTCGATCGAACTTTAGGTTGCTTTACGACTTTATGGTAATGTATGTTACGGGATGGAAAAATTAGTGATTTTCAGTGATATACAGGGAGGACGGATTTTTAAAATTTATGGACTAATGCGAAGAGAGCGAGAGGTTTTTATTTTATAGACGTTCGTTTGGGTCACCCGTTATCGCGAAGCGGTCGTTTATCGATACTGCTAGGCTTAACTTTTTTTTAACGGGTATATATTTTACACCCGGTATGTAGGGTCTCACGGTAGAAGCCTAAACACTTCTGTAAGCGTTCTTCGCGCTTCGCGAAGCATCGAGCGTTGTTTCACTTATCTCTCTTTTTTTTCCTCCTTTACCTTCAATTCCTTCGTGTCTATCTTTCTCCTTTAATCTATTTTTCATGAAGTTTTATTGGACACCGAGTGCATCGGGAACTTATGGGATAGCCGGGGTCTCTCTGTCTCTTTCTAGCTTATCGTGCTCTGCCATACTGACAAGGAAAATAGTCGGGAGTGAATTTCCTGAGGTAAATAAAACAAGATACACAAAGAGAGAGAGAGAGAGAGAGAGAGAGAGTAAAATAAAAAATAAATGATACATAAAATAATTCAAAAATCAAATGCAATGTATCAGTGAAATCATGTTACGGATTGTACGTAGGATAACAGTGTATGATTTTAATAAGCAAAGCTTTTGGAAACGTCCGACGCCCGATTTTCCCTGAGCGTTCCTAAAGTATATTAGAGTTGCTCGTATGACGTAACTCGCGGTACCGATAAGCGTTATCCGATCGTTATGTAAAATTTCAAAAATTTTTACCTCATCCTAAACTTCACGAAAAAGACCAAAAGAGGCTGAGGAACGCGAGACTCATCGGGGGCGGTATATACTGTGAATAGGCTGTAAGAGGCCTAAGAGTTAGGGGAGCAAAGTATACGTATACATATGTCGAGGGAGGGTAGAACGAAAGAGGGTGATGAGTTTGAAACAAGAGAGAAGGAGAGGGGAGGGTGAGAGAAAATGAATGGGGGAAGAGGGTAGGGGGACAAGGATTTAAGAAAAATCGACAGGAGGGGTCTCGGCGACAAGGGGTGGCTTTCTACTGGCAATGAGAAATAGGGGAGGAATAAAGGAAAGGGTAAATTGCCCTGATATATTTAATCCTGAAAAGACTAAAGCCTTATTGGTTCGCGAATCTAGGTTAGGGTAGGCCATGAGAGGGATGATAAAGGAGAGAGAGAGAGAGAGAGAGAGCCCAGGAACAGACGAGACTTCTAGAAGCTTCCAGACTGAAAGGGTAAAAAAGCGACTTGTGCGATTGGGGATGAAATTTTAAGAGGATCGACGTGAGCCCAGGAACAGACGAGACTTCTAGAAGCAAGACTAAAGCCTTATTGGTTCGCGAATCTAGGTTAGGGTAGGCCATGAGAGGGATGATAAAGGAGAGAGAGAGAGAGAGAGAGAGCCCAGGAACAGACGAGACTTCTAGAAGCTTCCAGACTGAAAGGGTAAAAAAGCGACTTGTGCGATTGGGGATGAAATTTTAAGAGGATCGACGTGCAATCCCGTTAAACGATCTTCACGCCTCGTTATCCCTTGTCTTTAAGGGTAGCTTAAAATCCTCGGTCCATTTTTCGACGACGTCCGTTTCAAATTTCATCCCCTTTCATTCGGTTCTACGAATTTCCATTGTTACTCCCCCGGGACTTTAAAGGGTTATCGAACGTCACGTGACGTATGCTGGACGCTGTGATAAGTGAAATAGGGGTGGCTTTTATTTGTATTTTTTCAAAATAAAAAACACAGCACCAATCGTCACAGAAATCCAGTCGAAATACGGGGATTTGTTCCGAGCGAGGAGGTCGAAGAAAAAAAAGTCACCCTGTACATTTCCCGTACGCGCAATGGGAACGTAAATGTTTTCATTTATCCGACGACACGAGAATCGAATTAAGCAATCCGAACAAGAAGCTTTTTATACGGCGATTCAATTACGTAGACTGGTTTTCACTTAGAACTTGGAAATTAAACGGTATTGTGTTCTAACGAATCGATTCAAACATCCGGCGGAAGTAACAAGCTCCTGGGTAGAGGAGGATGGATTACACCCGATAGCAACGCAGCAGCGGTTCGACCGTAGACATAGATAAACATATGTGCAATCTGAAACGGGAAATGAAAATTTATCCAAAATTTCCTCAAATTTATTACGTCGTATTGGAATCCAAGCGCGATCCAAGGAATCTGCCCATTTCGAAAATCAGCACAAAATTGGAATTTCACACGGAGGACTTAATCAAGTTCCAATTGGAATCTTAAGATTCCACGTGGGAGGAGACCAAGTCACACGATGCGAATAGGGAACGTCGGAGGGTCCTCCGAGTCACCGGAAAACTGGACCGGAAGGTGATTGGGAGCTAAGAGCAAAGCACGGACGGTGATTCTGGGTTATTCGCAACCTGGTCCAGATGAGAGGAGTTCATGGACGTCAATGAGGACAACTGGTACGGATGCTGGGAAGGGACATGATGGTACTTGGTGATAGTAGGACCAATAGGACTCTGGTGCTACGGTGCAGGCAATATCGAACCGGTCACGTGGACTGACCTCAGAGTTGTGCAACGACGACGTGACGCGTTTCCATGTAATCGCCAACGAAAATCTATTGGAAATAATTTTTCAGCTCGTCGAGCCTCGCACCCGATATTTCCTACTGCTATGGTAATAGCTCTGACCTAACCTAGACCCACCACCTGATCATCCGACGTAATGAGGTTGCACGACATTTTTTTCTTCTTCTCTCATCCTACCAATTAGCTCCAATAGGATCTTTAAACACTCACCGTACATCTTTCCTTCGTCTGAGAGGATGATCTTGCGTCTGCCGCATGGCGGATATATGGTGAGAGCTTCCTGGAAGCTCTGCTCGATATCCGGTGACCATACGCCTTCCGCATCCGCTGCCGACAGGTCCTTCTCGTCCTGCAATAATTTCTATGTAAATATTGTGACGTAACGCTTACATACGATTTATTTTTGTCTACGACTGTATTCAATTTGCGATTCGAACTACCTCGGAGCAATTTTTCTTTTAATAAATTTCATATAAAATTTCTATCTCTTTGGTCCATATCAGAATCCGACGTAAACTCACATCGCTGATCTCGCCAACGTCGAGGTTCTTCGTATCCGAGCCGGAGCCGTTGGCGTCGGGCGGCGGCCCGGAACTCGCGGGTGTCCACGGCGAGGAAATGGTGTCGGCTGCAGCCACCGCACTGCCTGGAACAATGAAAAAAGAAAAATATTTAATATCAATGAAAAGTAAAAAATTTTTCATTCGACAACAATAATATTATTTATTTACATCAGTGACGGTATCAATGAATACACGTAACTACGTATAAAAACTTGTAATTCAATTATTTAATCCAGTCTTGTAATTTCATACGGCCATCCGTCTCATAATAAAACAGTCAAACGCATACGGGTCCCAATGATTCTTACGTAACGTACTCACACGGTCTATTGGACCAGCAAAAGATATGCGTCAGAGGAACAGACGCTTGAGCCGTCAATGTCACAGGTACGAAAGAGACATATATAACCATAAAGATATACAAGGTTTCTTTAGTATCGCTGAATCCATTCGATGACGTAATATCGAAATACCCAACGTACCGTGTGGGCATTAATAATTAATGGTACAAAGTCAAATAACTCGTGTGAAAAGAACACGTGTGTGGATTAATAATTAGGATGCAAAATTGAAAAAAAAAATTTTCCATGAAAAAACCACGTGAGAATAGTAGGATGCGTGTATCGTGAAAATAAAAAAAAAAGGTAGGTCAAGAATTTTTGAAAAATACGATCCTCACCCTTCGCATGCCAAACGGCAAATGAAGGGTTAATTTACAGGTAATTCCGATAACCCACGCGTACTCGTCTCCGATTGGTTGCCGTGTAAAAAAAAAAAGAGAGGGGACAATTTCGAAGGAAACCTAATTAAAAGCTGGAGACTCGAGCGGTACTGTTAAATGATTTGACACGGTGGGAGGAAAGGAGGGTGGAGATTCGTAACAGGGGTCGGGAGTGGACGTAGAAAAATCAGGCGCGTTAAAAAGTAACCGGGGGGTGCAGCCCGCGAGCAACAAGTGGTTGCTGATATCGCGTATCAGTGCCGTAGCGCGAGGTAGGGGTAGCCCCGTGGGCGGCAGCTCCGCCTCCCGAGGGTGGAGTTCAACGTTAAGGGAGATTCTGAACCCTCCCGTGGAACCAACCCCTTACAGGAAACACAGAACTTAACCCCGGAACAGTCACGAACCACTTTCGGACTAATTCTATTCCGCCAGGAATCACGTGTCGGATTCGCATGATATTTCGAAGCCACCCCTTATACAAACGTACAGGAGGGGTAAAAATCACAGGGGACGCAAAAAATAAAATCAGCATTTTTATTAAAACTGACAATTTTTGGACAGTCTGTACTACGGCTGATTTTATTTAAAAAATACCCCCCTCCATGCCCCCCAAAAAGTATTAAGATTCGTAAAAAATGTTCAATAGCCAAAATAAAAAATACCCTCAAAAATAATTTTAGCACCCTCGATTCCTATCACAGGTAGCCGGCACTGTGGCTGAAATAACACGTGGGGACTGTAGAGTGACGTAACCACGCAAGTGATTACATACAGGGTGTAAAATAAATTCAAGGGTGCCCTAAGTGGACTTATCGTTCCAAATATTCAGAGGGTGGTCGGTGGTTAATAGAGACGAGGAATTAAGCCGGCAGGCACGTGCATTTCGATGGGAATGGTTGGGGGGAGAATAGAGGGGGCCCCCCCCCCTCATATCCCGCCCCTGTATGCAGGAGATGCATGGGGCCAGTGTGGAAATGCATCGGCGTGGCGGATGCACGCGGCTGCTCGCAATGCGATGCCAACAGGAAGCATAGATCATGGCGGATGACGCATGGTTGCATTCGGCGGTTCCAGGAGGGTTGGAAATGTGCGGATGAAGGATAGGGAATGGCCGGGATAGCGATGATAGGAGTGGAACGGGACGTTTTGGAATGCAAGGCAAGACCGCAGCCGTCTAACCGTACGGTCCGTGCGGAATACGGACTGCCGTTCATTATACGGAATAATGTGCGGCGTTAGGCAGCCCCCCGCCAAAATTCACTTCCCCTCGTTCCGTATCAGCCTCGTCATCCCTTAAACAACCGAGCGGTACACAACTTGGAGTATTTTGAAAATTCACCATCCGACCGGATCAATCTGGTCCATTGGGCAATCTGGTATCTGGAGATATCTGCCGATTGGACTTCCGGGAGTCGGACTGTACCGTGAGAGGGAGAGATTACTTTTTTTAAAGATAAATGACAACTTTTTTTTTTTTACAAAAAAACTATGGAAATTTTTTTTCAAAATTATAATCCTGTATCGCATATACGGAGGTGTACGTGATATATTTAACGGCTCGTTGCAGATGTGTCTGGCAGATGTTACTGGAACAGGGAAAAATAAGAAAAAAAAATAACTAGCGACACTCTTAACAGGGATTCACTGAAGTCCAAAGTTTAAATTACAAAAAAAAAAAAAAAAAATTACTGCAAGAAACAGATTACGGTCCGGGTATAAGAACCAGCTACGAGTACCTTAACCTCGCCCGAGCTATAATTTTACGAAGAAAAATCGCGGCTGGAAAAGAAACATTAAAATCGGCCTTAAGAGGCAGACTGACAAGAAAATCCAAAAGCGTCCAAAAAAAAAAAAAAAGAAGCCGTAAAATCCGATACCACAGGGATGGTAATTTCAAGTTCAGAAATTGACCCAGATAAGATAAAAAAAGTGGCAAGTCCAAAAAAAATTAATAAATCCTAGGGGGAAAAAAAAGCCCTAGTCACGATCGCGTACAAACGAACACGGAATCTATACGCAGGGAGGGTGGGAGGGGTACTGGCAGCATCCGAGCTGTAAATTTGGTATATAACGATTGGACCAGGAAGAGGGCTGCTCCCGTCCAGGGGGCGTAGGATAGGACTAGGGGTTGCGGATCCATAGAAGCATTCATGCCATGAACCAGAGGGTGGCTACGCTGGAATGCGTCCCGTTTAATATCGTGGAACATTATATATCGCCGCTCTTGTCCCTGGTCCGCCTGTACGTACCAAGCGTACCGTTTCGTACCGGTAGGTAGTACGTAGGCTAGAGGTACATACAGTGCTGAAAGGTACGTGTACTGTATAAATAGGAAAAAAAAAAGAATTCAACTCCTCCCCGTTAAAACGAGCATACACAACACGTGCTAAATCGTATAGGAGAGTGTTCATAAAGGTATGAAAAAGGGGATAGGAATATTAAGGGTAAAAAAAGGAATAAAAAAATTTTATCGATAAAAAGTCACCGTATATGGTCCTACGGGGCACTGGCAATGAAATCAGGGAAATGTGACGTCTGTGCTACTTGATATGCGCTATAAATAGAACAGCTAGACTATTCAGTCGTGACGCAAGAGTTACAGTCCCTTGTAATGGGCTGTCCCTATAAATTGCTCGAGACAAATTGCTTTTTAATTGTATACTTGTTGGACGGAGTGTACGTGGAAGTGTTACGACCATTTGGTTACTATTGCTACTGTCGTTGCTGGTAGCAGTGGGTACCTTTTTTTTTTATTTCGAGTATATCTAGAGTCGATTGTAATATTGTATATTGGTAATGGTCACCGGAGGGTATTAACGTTCGTTGTACTATTACTATGTATATTCACGAGTGAGTGGAGATTGCTGCTGGAAACTCGAGGTCATTTTGGTATGGTTAAATATAGTCGTATATAAGAGAGAGAGAGAGAGAGAGAGAGAGAGAGAGGGAGAGAGAGAGAGAAGAGAAAGCGAAAGTATTTTCTATAGTCGTATATATGTACAGTGTGTGCACTTAACGAGGATCTAGAGGATGGATTAAATGGACGGAAATGATTTTTATCGATAGATCGATAGAATCGATTGTATATCGATATTATTTTTGTATTTCATCAATATGAAAACTAGATAAGCATGGAAATTTGGGTTATCGGTATATCTTTTTATGGGGTAATTGTTTTCAAATTTGGATTTAATTATGCGTTAAGAGTATTTTGAGATCGTATAGATATTAACGATACGATAGGAATGCGAATGCTTTTTCTGTGATAAGGAGAGACAATTTTTTTGGAATTACTCGTTTTCGATGAATTTTGAAAATTTTAAAAATTGAGATTGAATTATTATATTTGGGTCGTTGCACGAGTTCGTGCATTAATGGAGGTCGAATGAATTTTTTGGTGATTTTGTTTGGTGAATTATCGAAAAAAAATTTGATAAAAAAAATGGTGAAAGGATAGTCAAACGACGTCGTGGATTATCGCGACGGTAGAGTCGTTAAATATTGAACGCTATTAGCCGGGACTAGAAATAATAATTTTCGACGCAAGAGAAACAGCAATCAAGAGAAACAAGAGAGGAAAAAAGAAAATGGTGCTAGTGAGTTTAACGATCGCGCGATTAAGAAAATAATTACGTACGGCGATCCGAGGTTAATGGGCAGGTCCGTGTCTATCGTGGGGGACGCCGACGCCTGGCACTGGGCTCTTTGGTGTAGAGCGTCGTTTGTTCGCTGCGATAACAAAAAAAGTCATAATGGCACTTTGCCATTTTTTGTTTCATCCTCAATCCTCTCTCTCAAAATTTTTTTTCATATTTTTTCTATCCTCTCCGACTTCCTCCTCGACGTCTGGTACGGATCTGGTCGAGAGGAAACGTCTTAGAGAAAACGAAAGACACCGGACGACGCCCGGCGTCGAAAATAGGCCCAGATAATTGCGCGTCCCACGAGTGAAAAACTATTAAGTTTTCAGCGCAACCGCGACAGTCAACGCGGAATATATAAAAAATAACCAAGTAATAACGGAAATAAAAAAAATATATATATATAATTACAAAATTACCTAAAAGCTAAAAAAAAATTCTTCACCTGTAAAAAGTCAGTTCCGGCTTAATTAAAAAGTCCCCCCGAGCTACCTAACGAGAATTTAATTTCATTTTCAAAATCTCAAAAAAACCTAAATTCCAAAAAAAAAAACCCCTTCCAACCCATACTGAAATCCTGGAAACACTAGAAAAACCGGTTACACGCGCAACAAATCCGCTGAAAGGAGAAAGGATCACCGTAACGAATGAGTACCCGCAGTACAGATACAAAGTTGGTACCCGTGCGAGTTCAGTGTAATTGCGAAAGACAAGAAGTAAC